CACACACACACACACACACACACACACACACACACACACACACACACACGGTTGCTGAGGCCATGGCCCCTCAGGGGTCCTTGTCAAACACGAGATGGCCGACTAACGCAAGGCCCAGCAGATGAGACGCTGCTGGGAGCACGTGCAGACTGAGTGAGGGTGTACTGGGCAGTTCTTGTCACAGTGAGACTGCGGACGGGGAGGCTGCATCCCTGAGGAGCCCACAATGCAGCTGCTGGCATGTTCCCAAGATTGGAAGGGGCCCCTGTGCCCTCTTCAGGTAACTGTCCTGCAGACTGGGAAGCACCGACTTCCCGGGGGCTGCTGCCTACTGGCCCTGAGCCTGTGCTGACCCCAAGACACCTGAGAACCATCATTGTTGGTCACACGGGGCCACATAACCTGTGCAGCGTCCCCACATTGGTCCCCTGACCTGGGTGGGGGGCTATTGGGACATCCCTCTGTGCCCCCCGGTGGTCCCTCCATGGGAAAGCTGCACAGATCGGTCCCCATATCAGACACATGATGACGCAGGGGATCCCTTCCGTGTTCTCTGTGTAACTTGCCAGGTCGGTGCCGAATGACAGATGACATGTAGCCCGTGGTGATGGCAAGCATGGCTGAGGTCTAGGTGCAGTGTCTTTGCTAGAGAAAATCACAGTCATGCCACTCAGTATGCAGCTGGCCTATACGCTTCCTTTTCTGTCCCCATCAAGGAAGGGATCAGATGCACCACGCCGTCATGTGACAGGGTCATCAGCACATTCCCACGGTTAGCCTTGATGGCACCAACTCTCCCGCTGCCTCAATATGACCCACCGAGAGCTCGGTTTCCCTGACATCATGCCAAGTGGACTGGGAGGGCAGGAGGTAAGAAGCCCCTCGCTGCCTTATAAACCAGAGGGTGGGGGGCACCCCATGAGTTCATGAGCCTCGGGAGGCCTTAGGGTTCCCACAGGGTCGGTAGTGGTGGGACACCCTATTTGAAGTGAGATGAGCTGCGGCACCCAGTTCTAAAAGCACAGTGCTCGGTGGGACTCGATCCGGGGCAGCAGCTCTGGCCCGTTTCCTGGGCACCAGGTAATGTTGCAAGAAAAGGCTCTGTGGCGGGTCCAGGTGTGACACAGCCACCCTGCTGCTTGGGCAGAGGGCCCATCGGGCCCCACGCTACCTGAGGCACCTGTGGCAGCACCAACAAAAGCAGCGCCTCTGGACAGCCCTCTTCCTCCTCTCCACCTGGAAAGCAGCCTCAGGCTTGTGGCTGAGCTCTGGAAAAGGCCTGACCTGATTCACCGAGTGGCCCAAGTACCCAGTGAGAGCCGAGTGCACGCAGCACTCTGCGGTCTGGCTGAGTCACATGTTGGACAGGAGACCCCAGCTCTGCTGAACTTCCCTCCCCCGCCCCCGGGGCTGCCAGGGTCGGAACAAGGGCAGAGGGGGCTGATGGGCATGTGTGTGCATATACCCACATCTCAGTGGGCAAAGCCAAGGTGACACAAATGGCCCAAGTTGGCTCTGCAATGGGCAGCATCCGAGAGGTTGACCAGTTGCCAGATTCAGAAAGCCCAAGACAGGAAGCTTGGGGGTACAGAGGGTGCTGTCCCACAGAAACAGGAGCATCCCCTGCAGGGAGTCTCTCATACACAGGGTGTGCCAATCCCAGCGACCACCCCATGGGCCTAGGTGCCGAGTGGCCATGGCAGCAGGGGGTGGAGGCTGTGCATGAACCAATTACGGGGGCTTCCCCAGCTCTCACACAGCTCCAAGCCCAACCCCAAACCAGCAAAGACCAAAGCTAACCCGTCAGTGGTCAGAGGGAGGGGACACATCTGCAACCTGGTGGCCACCTGACTACATGGAAACATCATAGATAGAAGAGCTGGTGACTTACGTCCCAGGGACTAAGGGACAAAGCACAGATGACTGCTCTGGAGGCACAGTCATCTCCAAAGGAGGGTCCATCTTACCACAGTGCCAGGCTGCAGTGGCTAGAGCCAGAACCCCAGCTGAGGTGCAGACTTTGAATGGGGGGCTGCAGCTCTGCCCAAAGCTGACTGGGACGGAGGGAGGAGTGGCCCCCACACCCCTCACTGCCCTTTGGGGTCTCTGCTCATCAGGTTTGCACGTCCTGGTGTCCAAGGAAGGACCTGGTCCACCAGAGAACCCAGTCCCCTCCCAGTGAGCTGGAAGCTGAAATGGCCTCCTTGGGTCCTCAGGCCACTGAGCCAAGAAGTGGAAGGAGCTGCTTTGCTGCTGGGGTGATGGGCCCAGGCCACCACGGAGAAGCAGGGTCAGTCAGGGCTGAACCATGTCCCCCGGAGGTCATACGTTAAAGCTGTAACCCCCCCTACACACACACACACCTCAGAATGTGACATTTGAAGACAGGGAGGTCTTGAGAGTGGGCCGACTGGGACCTGTATACTCAAAGACCAGCAGACACACACGGGGACTGAGAGCCACCTGCAGGCCAAGCGGAGAGGCTTCAGGAGGACTGGCCTGCCCACACCTTGATCTTGGGTTTCTGGCCTCCAGGGCCAGGAGATCAATTTGTTGTTTGAGCCGCCCAGACTGTCGTAATTTGCTATGGCCGCCTGAGGTAAGACAGTGCTTCGTGATGGGGCAGGAGCCCATGTGGTACAATGGTCAGTGGGCGACGGTACCCCACAAACACGCAAGGCCCGCAGCCCTGAGCCAGCCCATCTGAGCCCGCAGGCACCCACATGGAAAACAGGTGCTGGCTTTCGGGTTCAGGTGGGTGGGTGATCAAATTGACAACTGCCCATGACAAGGTAGCTGGTGGCCCCTAAACTTTTCTCATAGACACTGGATGGGCAGGTCTGGGGGGTCAGAGGTGTTATGGGCCTTGTCTTCCATCTGCCGTTCCACACCCATCCCCTCTGCCACCTAAGCCCAGGGCAGCCCAGGGAGAGGACAGTGGGATCAGGGCTCTCAGGCCCTGAGCCAAAGGTCTCTATTCCTCACCAGGTGGGCTCCCCATATCATTATCTTTCTGGAATGGTAAGTGCTCCCCCATCTGTTCTGTCTGCCCTGGAGTGGGGGGCCCTGGGGTTCTGTAGCACCCCTTGTGGCTTCCCCGCCCCCCTGCCACAAGCCTTTTCACAGTCCCCAAATTGTCTTCATCTGAGTATGCCATCTGTTTCCTTCTGGGCCCAGACATGGAGCCAGGATGTCTGTGGGGGCGGGCACAGCCCTCAGTGGACACTATTGGCCGTGTCTGCTGCTGGCCAGTCTGGGCCAGGCAGCCTGGAAGCCCCAGCCTAGCCCCCACCTGGCAGGGGGTCAACGCAGCCAGCTGGGCTACAGGAAGTGGGTGCCCCTCTGGGCTCTTCCTGACCCGGGCCATGCCCTCCCCAGCACAGCCTCTGCAGAACGGGCGGAAGGCGGGACGGGGCTGCTGTACCCAGCAGGCGCAGCCGCCAGAGACCCCGGTCGGGCAGGGCAGCCGTCCTAATGGCCGCTGCACCTTGGCCTCCTCCAGCAGCTCACACCTGCCTGTGCCCAACCTGCTTCCCATCCGGCACCCACAGGCGGGGGAGAATGGTCTGATGGGGAGGGGGGACGCGGAAGGCTGGCTCCAGCCAGCGTCTGACCACAAAGGCCAACTCCGAGTCCAACCTGTGGAAAGGCACTTTAAGGGGGTGAGTGTGGGCGTGAGGGAATGAACAGAGCTGACGACTAACTGACGGCTGATGGTGGTCCAGCCCACCTTGGCCCCTGGCTGCCCGGGGTTCACTGCTCAACAGAGGCTCACAGTCACTGGACAGAGGTGGCCCTCAGGGGGCAGGAACCTCCAGGTGCCACACAGGGTTTGAGAAGGGGCCTGGCCGGGTCCAGTAGTCCACCGCTCGAACCCGGTAGGAGCCAGAAACAACGGCTGTGTCTGGGAACACAAAGGTACAAGCGTGTTCTTGAACGTGTGCCCCCTGAACCCACCCCAAACCCCCTGACTCCATCCAGGCTTCGCAAGGCCCAGACCCCACCCCACATGGCGCTGTGCTGAGGCCCAGGAATGGGTGGAAGACACACCTGGACTGTGCACAAAGAGGTTAAACGTCGATGGCTTCCGGCTGATGGGAGCATACACATGACCATCCTGGGAGTACTGGATCTCATACGTCCACAGGCATCTGGGGAAGGTCAGTCAGGACCAGGGCTGAGGTCCAGGTGGGGAGGCCGGGCAAGGCCCATGCAGAGCCCTAATCCCTCCAGCCCCGTGGGCACTCTTCCCACAGTGATATGGGGAGGGGGCTGGAGCCCAGCTGCCACCTGCAATGTACCCTGTAGGTCATCGACCCTGCATCAGACAGGGGTGACATCATGGGTTATCTGTGGGGGCAGATATGTGAGGGGAGGAGCACATGACCTGTGGGGCGGCGAGGGTGGGGGTCAGGGGACAGAGTGGGATGATCCCGTGGGCACTGTGGCCCAAAGGAGCTGGAGGTGAGCACCTGGGTGGGGATGACCCAGCACGTGCCCGACGGGGACAGGGGCTCAGAGGCGACCACACTCACGCACTTGGAGCCAATGCGCTCGTCGGACCAGACCAAAAGCAGCTGCCTGTGGGTCAGGGGCAGAGCGCGGAGCTGGGTCACCTAGGAGAGGGAGGCGCAGTGACAGGGGTGTGGGGCAGAGGAGGGGCGAGCAGGGGGGTGGGCAGGCTGCCACTTGCCTGGCCTGGCGGCTCCGCGGGGCGCGCGCACACGTGCACCAGTAGCAGCGAGGGCAGTGGGAGCTCGGGGTGCAGCGTCAGACGGCCACTGGCGGGGAAGGGGCGCGGCGCTGTGGCCACAGGGTCCTGGGGACAGGCACCGGTAGGTACTCAGGGCCCTCGCCCCTCAGGAGCAGCCCCGCCCCGCCCCTCACCCCACCCCACCCGCGGACCTCGGCCTCACGCATGCGCCGGAACTGCTCTGGTGAGGGGAACACTGGCCGGCCAAGGCGCTGCCACTCGCCGTGGGGGCTGCAGAGCTGGTTGTCCAAGTACAGGGTGACGTACACAAGCCCTGCGGAGTCAGACATTAGGGCCGCGCCTCCCTGGGCCCAGACCACCGCTTCAGGCCCCACCCAGCCAGACAATACCCCCCCACCCCCCACCCCCCGTTGAAGTCCCCACACACCCTGGGACCCCTACTCACCCGGGCCCAGGGGCACCCCGTGCAGGCGCAGGGACAAAGCGACGCTGCGGTTGGCGTGGGCGCGGGTGTCGTTGCTCGCATAGACCAGAACTGTGGCGCGCCAGGCATCGGCGGGGCCTGTGGGGTAGTGGGCACTGGCCAGGACCCCCACAGTGTGGTTGCTGTCCTGTACCACCCCTGCTTGTGACACCTCGGCCCAGAGCTGCTCTTCGTCTGCAAGGCGTGGGGTAGTGGTCACCACACGGAGGTTGCCACCTATCCAGGGCCTGGCTTCCCACCATCTGCCCCCTTCCATTGGGGTCTCCAGCCTGGAGGTCCCGGGTCACACCACAACCTCTGTGGCCCACAGAACTGGGGGAAGCATGTTCCCCACCCAGCAGGACACATCTATCCGGCTCCCCTGGCTACTCAGGGCCGGGAATGACAGCCCTGCACAAGCAGGCCTCTGCCCAGGTTATGCCAGTCCGGCCTCGTGTGCTTCTGGCCTGGCAGCGATGTGGGACCCGGCGGGCTCACCCAGCAGAGCCAGCAGCCCCATGGCGGTGAGCACCGGCTTGCGCAGCAGCTGCACGTGGGGCGGGCGCGTGTTGTTGACCTGGAAGCGCGCGGTGAGCGTGCGCTGGGTGAAGGGGTGCGGGTGGTAGCTCAGGAAGGCGTTGTCATTGCTCAGGAGCGCATAGCGGATAGAGGAGCTGGCGTTGGCCACCAGCAAGTTCTGGTGCTGCGCGATGACCTGCGGGCGTGGGAGCAGCTGGGACCAATCGCCACGGCCACACGCCCTCACTGTCCCACCCCCAGAGGAGGCAGCGCCTGTGGGCAGGTCCTTGGGGCGGACCAACCTTCACCACCATGGCCGCGTAGGTCACGTCGGCCCTCCACGGCTGCGGCAGGGACCAGCCCACCAGCGGGTCTGCCTCATCGTTGTAAATGGGGGTGTCGGCGAACTTGGGGAAGAGCTGCTGTATCTGCTGCATGGCCGCCTTCTCCTGCTCCAGGATGGCGATGGAGCTGCCCGCGCCCTGCGGAGGTAGTGGGCCTCAGCGCGGCTAGGGCCGGCGCACCTGACTGCCGCTGCAGGGCGGGAGGGACCCTGGGGCCCTACCTTCTTGTGGAGGGCGATGTAGTCCAGCCGCACGCCCACCTCCCCGGTGAAGAAGTTGGTGCCGTGGTGACAGTGCCCCAGGAGGCCCCAGCACAGCGGGGAGTGTGGCGGAGGGTGAAAGGAGTCCCCGGGGCCGCCCAGGCGCAGGGTGGGGCTGGCCGCTCGGAGACCCTCGGAGCAGGCGTCGTAGTAGTTGAGGAAGCCTGGCGGGAAGGACGAGGGAGTCCATGCCCTCACACCTGGAGGGCCGCTCCCGCCCCCTCAGCCCCACAGGACCCCAGGAGGCCCCGCCCACCTTGCACGGTCATGGACACGTTGTCAAAGTCGTGGTGGTCTGGCTCATTCCACGTCTCGAAGTTCCACTTGGAAACGTGCTCCAGTCCATACCTACCTGCATGGTGTCCCTGCTGTCATGCCACCCCTCCCCTGGGGCAGCAGAGTGCCCTCCCTACTCCCAGGCGCCCAAACTTGGGGGGTTTGGATGTGACCGGACTGTCTGATGCGATGTGAGCCTGGCCCTCCTTCTGCCCACATCAGGAGACCCTGGCTGGCAGGTCCACGGCAGAGAGCAGCCAGGTGGCGGGGGTGGTGCAGGAGGCCAGCCTGCCCAGGAGCGCCCACCCAGACCCCTGGGGCCTGCCCCTGCCCACCGATGTATCTCCGGGCCAGGAGGGAGACCAGGTCCTTCCACTCAAACACCTGCTGCTTGTCTTCAAAGTCGGTGAAGAGTCCTGAGGGGCTGCCCATCAGCTCAAAGCCTGCAACACAGGAGGGTGGCTGCCCCCTGCCCACCACCCACACCATCCCCAAGCTCCCCATATCTGCCCAGCCTGGGCTCCACCAGGCCAGCACCAAAGCCGATCCATGGCGGGCAACCACTGAGGACCCAGAGGGGCCAGGTCAGGGGGAGATGGCACCTGGTGGGCAGAGGGCAGGGCCGGCTACTCACCTGGGAGGAGCTGGTTCTCCCTGAGAAGGTCCAGGTACCCGTCCAGATGGGTGAAGTTGTAGTGCAGGCCCTGCCCAGCTGACCCCCTGTGAAAGGACATGCAATGTCAGAGCTGGACAAGGTGGGCCCTGGTCTGGAACTGTGGCCACGTTCAAGCAGCTGGGGAGTTCACAAGGTGCCACACAGGATTCGGCTGGACTCAGTGGGCCCACCCCTTGGAAAAGACCAACTATGGAACCCTATCAGTCACTCACAGCCTAGTATGAACTAGCATGCCTGAACTGGAAACCCCACCCCAAAGCTTCCGGGGCTCAGAACAGCTTGAGGCTTAGGGGTGGACTGGGCAGGCAGGTCTTTTGGGAAAGGTATGAAAGGATGGAGTCGGGGACAACAAGGCATCCTGAAGACAGCTGACCGTGGAGCAGGGGGCTGTGGACAAGGGCCTGACAGGACCTGGTAGGCGCCACAGCCTGTTTCTCTGTGCCCCCTGGAGGCCAGGGACCCAGATTTGTCTCAGCAGTACCGACACTCCAAGGCCACATGGACAGGCAAGAAAGGGATAAGGGCAGCCACCCTACCCTATGCTCACCCCAGAATGGGGCCCAGTTCCCTCGGGGCTCATCAGGCAATTACTCAAATCTGACGCGCCGTGAAGGGGATGTGACAGGGAGCAAAGGGCCAGGCAGTGAGGGCCTCCCCAAGGTGACATCTCCAACATCACAAGTGATGGGACAAGCCAGCAATGAGCGCGCCTGGCGGACAGATGGGACAGCCCGTGCAGAGGCCCTGGGGTAGGAGTGAGCTTGTAATTAAGCAGCAGGGAGGCAGCGAGAGGACCTGGGCAGAATATGGGGGTGTGCTGAGAGAGATGAAGTCACAGGCCTGTGACCACCTGAGGATGGGCCCCTGACTCAGAGTGAAACGGGGGTCCTTTCAGGGATCTAAGTAGAGTGGTGCCATTACTTTCTTGATTTGCTTGTTTTTGAGACTAAATTTTTCTTACAGCAGTTTTAGATTCACAGCAAAACTGAGGGAGATAGAGTTCCCATTCCTCCACCAGGACACCGGCACAGCCCCCCAGTTACTAACACCCCCATCCGAGAAGACATGTGTTAGGACTGATGAACCTGCACTGACATGTCATCACCCAAACTCCATAGCTGACATTAGGGTCACTCTTGGTGCTGTGCGTTCTATGGGTTTGGAAAGACGTGACATGTATCCATCATCACAATGTCACACAGGGTAGTTTCACTGCCCCCAAATCCTCTGTGCTCCCCCCATTCATCCCTCCCTCCATCCCAAACTCCTGGTAAACATCTTTTCACTGTCCCCATGGTTTTGCCTTTGCCACGATGTTTTGAAAGGGTCCCTCTGGCGGCTAACGGGAGCCACAAGATGGTCCCCCAGGGGGAGGTGTGGTGCCCAGACCAGGTGGTGGCTGCAGAGGCAGTAAGGAGGGCTGAGCGGATGGATTTATTGGGTAGAGGGGACAGCATGTGCTGACAGGTTTGTGGTGAACCCCTCAGATTTCAGCTTGAGCAGCAAGGCAAGCAGGGGTGCAGGGGGCAGAGGCAGGTGGGGATCAGCTGGCAGTAAGATGCGTCTCGGATTTGGCTATGGGGAGTGGACATCCACGGGTAGATCTGGCCTTGGGGGTTGGGTGAGGAAGCTGGTGACCCTCAGTCAGGCCCAGGTGGCGTGGGGCGCAGGTGGAGTAAGCGGGAGCAAGCACTGAGCCTGGGGACCCCAGTTAGGGTCACTGCCTCCTGAGGAGCACAAGCAACGGGGTTGGCAGGGGGCCCGAGGCTTCCCCTGAGGACACACCTGGGCCACCTTGGTCCACCCATAGATCTGAGGGAGGAAGGCAGGGAATGGGGAGAGGGCCTGTAATGTGGCAGTAGGGTTTGTCCCACGTGTGCGATGGTGGAGGAGGGGTAGGGAGGGGGCACCATGGAATCAGACCCTAAGCAGCTCTTGGTCTGTCCGTCTCCATCCCATGACACAGCCTGGCCAGCCCAGCTTTGTCTCCCAGACACAGTGAGGATCTGAACAATTCAATACCTTCCTTCCAGGTCCTTCTCATCTCACTCTTCACGGACCAGCCTTCAAAGTCCGCCCAGAGGCCCGAGTCCAGCCATCACACACAGGGGCCTCCCACCTCCCCCCACCCTCGGGGCCACACACCTGCATGCCCCTGCTGGGCCTTCTGCAGGGATGTGTCTCCCAGCTTCTGGGGGCAGCAGGACAGGCAAGTGCACGGGGACCCACCCTTCCCCCCACCCGCTACCCTCCCTCCCATCCAAAGGTCACAACCGGTAGCGAAGAAGTAAGTTAACAAGCACTCGGGTAAAAATTAAATGCATGCAGCAGACAGACGGGCTCCAAAGTCCCACAGGTGGTGGGGGATGGGGGGTGAGGAAGATAGGGGGTGGGAGCTGGCGCAAGCAACGGGGGACCAGGAGCAAAGTGAAAGCACAGGAGCTCTTTCTGCACAGGTCCTGGCCACCCTGGGCTGACGGAGGGTGGGGGCGGGGGTGCGCTGGGCTGACAGAGGCAGGGAGCACAGCGGCCCTGCTGAATGCTGGTCCCTGCTCGGTGCTGTGGGCCAGTGGGGCGCCCCAGTCTGCCACCCTGGGTAAATGTGAGTGTTCGCTGGCCACGCCAGCCTCGGCAGCACACCTGACCCCAGGGGCCAGGAAACCCGAAGTGGGTGGGGGACAAGGAACCCAGGAGCAGTTCTTGGGCCACTCTGTCGGTGCGTCTGGCTCGGTTGGGAGGGGAAACGGTGCCATACATTCCAAGTGGGGGGAGCAGTGGGTGAGAGGTAAGTTGAAGTGCGCGGCCCACCCCTGCACCCCCCCTGCAGAGAGGCCTGAGTCATGGTCGCAGACCTGGCCACCAATCAGCCCCAAGGCCAGTCCACCCTGCCGCCCCGCAAGGGGTCGAACTGGGCGTGAGGCACCAGCAGGGTCGCCTCCCGCTTCTGGCCGGGCACGTGGGCCGAGGCAGCACAACTGCCTCATTCACGGCGCGCCTGCGGCCGGTTGGGCGGCACCAGAGCCCCCTCCTCCCAGGCCTCAGCGCTTGCGCTGCGAGGACACAGCTGAGCCGGGCCTGGTGAGTGCTCGCGTGCGCGGGGCGGGGATCTGGGCTGCAAGTGCATGGGGTGTGAGGACCGATCCGCGTGTGCTCGGCAGTGGCGTGGGGCGCACGCGCGGGAGAGCGCGCAGGGCGGCGGCGGGGGGCCTGGGTTCGGGGTGGAAACCCAGGCCGCACCCTCCGGGAGCAGGGGGATGGTTGGGAGAGTGCGCGGAGGGGACCCTGGCCGCGCGTGCTGGCCGTTGATGAGCGAGGGCCGCGCTGCAGCCGCTGTCCGGGGTGGGGAGGTGAGGGTGTCGGGGCCCGGGCCGCTGGCGGGGGACCCTAGAGCGCATGCAAGAGCGGCCGGGTCTTCGGGAGAAATTCGGGTCTGGTTTTCAGGGCCCTGGGAGCAAATTGGGCTGTCTGCTGGCCTCCTTTTACTTGTAGGGATAGCGTTTCCTTTCCAAATATGTGTGCTTAACCATTTAAAACGGCGCCTTAAAGACGAATATTAAGGAAAAAACTGTGTGGCATGGGGACTGGGCAGGAGGCCAGTGAGGGCGGCTGCAGCAGGTGGGAGGTGCTGGAGATTCGGGACCCCTGCCAGAATGCCGGAGTCTGCACTCAGTGGGCCCACCGGGTGGCGGGGTGTGGGCCCCACGCACTTGCCCACGTGCCTGGCCAGACAGCAGGGTGGTCATGGCAGTGAATGCACGACAGAGAAGCAAGCAGAGCGATGGGGTCTGTGGGCGTGTGCTAGGCAAAGGGGTCCTACAAGCCTCTCGAAGGACACAGGTGACCTCTATTGTATTTCTTCACCTGCTTTAGACAAACAGCCTGGGTGGGAGTTGGCAGAGTACAGGGCCCAATCCGTGCCACCAAGGACAGCGAAGGATGGACCCTGATGGTGTAGCTGACCTGACGCTGGCGCTAGGTGCTGTGTGCACTGAGAACAGCCCCTCCCTGAAATAGCGCCACCTGCTGGGAATCCCAGCACAGGTGCTACAAACCCAGGGAGCCTCTGGAAATCCCTGCCCCCATTGCCCAAGGAAACCTCCCACGTTAGGTTTCCCCTGAAATAACCGCCCCCCACACCGCCCTGTCCTGTACCAGCACCAGGCCCCATGACACCCAGCACCCCTGCCTGTATCTGCACGGCCGTCACTGCTCTGTGCACCCAGGGGCCCTCCAGCTCCGTTCCCCACCCCACACCCCCATTCAGTAGCTGGACTAAAAGAAGATAAGCATTTTATGACACCTCAGTAGCTGCCCTTCCCTCTGCACTCCGCCACCCCCTCCCCCCCAAGGCACCTTATCTGCCCCAAGTTGAAGCCTGAGGCCCTGAACTGCTGTGACTCACCCTGCCCAGCCCTCAGGTCCAGTAAACCACAGCTTCTGGTCTGGGCTAACAGCCCCCCCACCAGGGACTAGTGTGTCCCAGGCCAGATGGGGGGGTGGGCAGGGAGGCCCCAGCTCTGACTTGAGAGAACTCAGCGAGCGCTCAGGGCCCAGCGTCGACTCTTCAAGGACAAGGAGTCAGATCTGGAGAGGTGGCCACGGCATCACAGGTGGGGCCTGACCCTCACTGAGGTGTGCAGACACCCGCCCAGTCTCTGGCCGTCCCCCACCTGCAGGCACCACTCCGATCTTTGCCCCAAATGGAGCTCCTGGTCTCCCCAGCCAGACTCCCTGAATTCGGGGCTGGGGCAGGGCATGCAGGCAGGTTTCCTGAGGGCCCAAAGTGGAGCTGTGTGGCGGAGCCAGGGTGGGAACCCCTCAACCTCTCATTGTCCCCCATCCCGGGAGCACAGTTGGCTGTTGATCTGAATTCCTGCTTAGTAACTGGCGACTCCTGTGGGGACGGGAGAAGTATGACCAAGCCAGGCTGCCCACGGTGCCAGGGCCAGCTTGGCCTTCCAGCCCCACCAAAGGGACCCCCCTGGAAGAACACTTGGGGCTCCAGCCCCCCACAAGATGGGCCCCTTCTTACCCATGTCTTCACTTTAAAGATGGGGGACTGAGATTCTGAATAATCACTGTAAAAAAACAGCAGCTTGCCCTTCGTTTATCATGAGTGGGACATGAGGGGAACCGTGTAAAGCGCTCATTTACCTTCTGCCAGCCCTAAAGGGCAGGTCCCACCTCTGTACAGGAGAGAATGCAACGAGGCCAGGCACCTGCCCACTCACGGGGTCAGCGCTGGGCTAGAATCCAGATCCAGGACCCCTAGCTCCACAGCAAGAAAGGCACACCTGGCTAGTGTGTCCTGACACCCATCACACACACACACAGCAGCCTTTCCCCACAAGGACACGGAACAGATGCTGGGATGTGGCTGCCGGGGCTGAGCTGGCCCGGGTCCGCCCCTGCTCATGCTCTAGCACGGACCAAACCCATCTCCTGGAAGGGCAGGGAGGGTGTCCAGGGATGGGCCAAGGAGACCAGCTCCTCCCTTGGTCCCCTCTGGTCCATGCCCACCTTCCAGGGTCCTTGGGGCCAAGGCACTCAGCCCCAGAGCCGAAGGGTCACATACTGCGTGTGCCTATCCCAGGACTGGCCAGGTTCCTGAGCCTTGACGGCCGAAAGAACCCCAGAACCCAGGGATCCTGCTCTAGCCACTCGCTGCCCCAACCTGTGTCTCTCACACTGCAGCCCTGTTCCTGGGGGGCTGGGAGCCTATCAGAGGCCACACGGATGTAATTATTCGTGAGCCTCTAATTACAGCACAACTCCCCCAGTTAGCAGCTCAGGTAACACTTGTCTGGGGACACGTGTGACTCAGCAATCTTTGGGGTAAATAATTGAACTGCAAGCCCAGCACGGCCAAGCAATTAGATGTTGACCATAGAGCACTGCCTGCCGGGCCACGCCAGGCCTGCTCGGGCCCACTCCGGGTGCCAGCTCTGTGCCTGAGCTACTGGCACTCCCCCTCCACTAACAGAATCCGGGGGCTCTGGGGTCCAGCCAGCCAGCAGACACAGGCTTGGGGTCTGGCTCTTCTGTGAGGCTCTTCCTCCGAGCTGCCAGCCTCAGGGCCCACCACGCAGAGGTGATGGAGGAACAAGAGGGGACTCGGTGGTTTGGTGAAGGGGTGGAGGAGCCTCCGTGTGGGTGATGGAAGGGACTGTGCTTGGATGGCAGTGCACAGGGAGCCGCAGGGTCTGGGTCTCGGTCTGGCCACATGTGTGTCTGGGTCTCTGCGACACCCTCTGCCCCAGCATCCATGCCTGCTTCTCTGTTGCAGGTTTTCCCAAGGGACCTGGTAACCCAGGATGGACGTGTCCCCTGAGCTCATGGAGCAGGGCAAGGGGCCGGTGCTGGTCCGCCGGCAACCTCGGGCACCGCGGGGCCTGCGTGAGACGCTGAAAGCCAGGCTGCAGCGTAGCTGTGTGTGCAGCGTGCAGGGGGCCCGGGCGCTGGTGCAGGACCTGCTGCCCGTCACACACTGGCTGTGCATGTACCGCCCACGGGAGGACCTGGCGGGCGACGTCCTGTCTGGACTGGTAATTGGCATCATCTTGGTGCCCCAAGCCATCGCCTACTCGCTGCTGGCCGGGCTGCAGCCTGTCTACAGTCTCTACACGTCCTTCTTCGCAAACCTCATCTACTTCCTCATGGGCACCTCGCGCCACGTCTCCGTGGGCATCTTCAGCCTGCTCTGCCTCATGGTGGGGCAGGTGGTGGACCGTGAGCTCCTGCTGGCTGGCTTCGACCCCGTCCAAGATGGGCTGGGGCCCAGGGACAACAGCAGCGCCCCCAACGTCTCAGCTGCCATGCTGGCACTGGGGCTGCAGGACTGCGGGCGGGACTGTTATGCCATCCGCGTGGCCACTGCCCTCACGCTGGTGGCTGGGATTTACCAGGTAAGGAGCTGACTTCATAGGGCCCACCCACTGGAAGGGCTGAGCCTAGGGGAAGCACAGGCTTGTGGCCTTGAAGGACAGTGGCTTTAACCACAAGTGGACAGGACAGGCACAGGCAGGGGGGGCCTGCATCGGCACCCCAGGGCCCAGGGAGCCTATCCAGCCAGCTGCAGCCTGGGCAGGGCTAGGGTGCTGAAGTGTGGCCCACACAGCCTCCCCAGGCTTCCTGTCCCAGGTGGGATCCTGGGGGGGCTGCCTGCCTTCCCGTGACCGCCTGACACCCAGCCCTCTCCTATACCTGTCCACCCCAGCCCTGTGTCACCCCTCCCAGGGGCCAGCCTGAGTCCCTTCCATTGGCTCCAGATCTCCAGGGAAGGGGGAGGTCCCACTCATGGGGCAGGAGGAGGAGTGGGCAGGCTTGTGATGTGGCCATGCCCCTCGGCCACACCCGGAGCCGGCTATGCTGATGTCACTCTACCCACAGGTCCTTATGGGCATCCTCCAGCTGGGCTTCGTGTCCGCCTACCTCTCACAGTCACTGCTTGACGGCTTCGCTATGGGGGCCTCAGTGACCATCCTGACATCCCAGCTGAAGCACCTGCTGGGCGTGCGGGTCCCACGGCACCAGGGGCCAGGCATGGTGGTCAGCACGTGGCTGAGCCTGCTGCGCAGTGCTGGGCAGGCCAACCTGTGTGACGTGCTCACCAGCGCCGTCTGCCTGACCGTGCTGCTGGCCGCTAAGGAGCTCTCGGACCGCTACCGGCACCGTCTGAAGGTGCCCCTGCCCACGGAGCTGCTGGTCATTGTGGTAGCCACGATCGTGTCCCACCTCGGGCAGCTCCATGTGCGCTTTGGCTCCAGTGTGGCCGGCAACATCCCCACTGGCTTCGAGGCCCCGCGGGTGCCGGACCCGGGGCTGATGCAGCGCGTGGCGCTGGATGCCGTGCCCCTGGCCCTGGTGGGCTCCGCCTTCTCCGTCTCGCTGGCAGAGATGTTCGCGCGCAGCCACGGATACTCGGTGCGAGCCAACCAGGAGCTGCTGGCCGTGGGCTGCTGCAACGTGCTGCCCGCCTTTTTCCACTGCTTTGCCACCAGCGCTGCCCTGGCCAAGAGCCTGGTGAAGACGGCCACCGGCTGCCGTACGCAGCTGTCCAGCGTGGTCAGTGCCGCCGTGGTGCTGCTGGTGCTGCTGGCGCTGGCACCCCTGTTCAGGGACCTGCAGCGCAGCGTGCTGGCCTGCGTCATCGTCGTCAGCCTGCGGGGAGCCCTGCGCAAGGTGAGGGACGTCCCACAGCTGTGGCGGCTCAGCCGGGCGGACGCGCTGGTCTGGATGGCTACGGCGGCCACCTGCGTGCTGGTCAGCACCGAGGCGGGGCTGCTGGCCGGCGTGCTCCTGTCGCTGCTGAGCCTGGCCAGCCGCACACAGCGCCCCCGCACGGCCCTACTCGCCCGAATCGGGGGCTCCGGCTTCTACGAGGACACAGCGGAGTTTGAGGGCCTGGTCCCTGAGCCTGGGGTGCGGGTGTTCCGCTTTGCAGGCCCACTTTACTATGCAAACAAGGATTTCTTCCTGCAGTCCCTCTACAGCCTCACGGGGCTGGACGCAGGTCGCGCGGCCGCCATGAGGAAGGCGGGGGGCCCGGAGGCAGGGGTCAGTGAGGGAGACCCCATCGAGGGCAAGGACCTGGGCCCCGTGAGCAACACCACCGCGCTGGTGCCCATGGCTGCTGGTTTCCGCACGGTGGTCATTGACTGTGCCCCACTGCTGTTCCTGGATGCAGCCGGCCTGGCCACACTGCGAGATCTGCGCCGAGACTATGGGACACTGGGCATTGACCTGCTCCTGGCCTGCTGCAGCCCCTCAGTGACCGACGCCCTGAGGAGAGGCGGCTTCCTCCGGGAGGACCAGGGGGACGTGGATGAGGAGGGGCAGCTGTTTTACAGCGTGCACAACGCTGTACAGGCGGCCCGGGCCCGCCATACGGAGCAAGCACCCGCCGACTCCAACGTCTAGGAGAGCCAGCGCCTGCCCCAGGCCTGCTTCCTCCCAGGGCCCACACAGACTCCTCACACCAATCACCCAAACTGACCCTCCTGGGAGCCTGTGCCGTCTCTGCCCTGGAGGGACCAGGGAGCCCGGAATAGGACAGGACGGACGCCACTGTGAACACAGACAAGGACCCAGAGATTCCTAAGAACCACACCTTTAGGACCAACGCCCCCATGGTGCAAAGCTGGGCCCCAGTGCTGTGTGACCGTGGGGCCAGTTTGACACTGTGTTGCCATCTTATTTGAACAAGGGCCTGGATGCAATCATGTTGCCTCCAAGGTGCCAGAAGGACGCTGGTCCCTTAGCCCCCACAGCTCCCACCCCACTGGGTGAGAGCTGGTGGCTCTGGATGAGTGTGAGGGTCTCTGTGCCTCTGGAAGCTGCCCAACACACACACCCAAGTGTTCCTTACACCTCGTGCCTAGGCCCCTGCTGGGCAGTGCAGGACAAAGGGAGCGTGACCAACACAACCTTGGCTCAGCCGTCAGGCACAGCTGCCCTGCAGAGCCCACCCAGCGAGGACCCAGCACGGGGCGCCTGCGTGCACACTCACTGGAGCTGGGTCCAGCCTCAATGTCAGCGCAGCGGAGCACCAGCCCGCCCCTGAGCCTCTGGCAGGAAGCCAGCTGTGCCTGCTCCTGGGGCTGCCCCAGCCAGCCCCTGGGCCTTCTTGAGCCAAGGAGCATGTGTTCCCTCCTCCCCTCCCCACAGGAGGCTTTGCTGAGAGTGTAGGGGCCATGGCTCCTCAGAGCAGGCCTCCCCCCTCCCTCGTGCCCCCACCTCTGCACTGCACTGTCCTCCACAGCAGACACAGCCTCCTCTCAGCCTCTGTCTTCAGCTCCCTAAAGTGGGCACTGCTGCCCCAGGCTGCCCACACCACGCTCTCCATCACCCACCTGGCCGTAATGAGCTCCAGCAGCCAGTGAGTCCGGACCTGCTCAATGCCACCATGAGGGACGGCGCCCACGTAGGCCAGGTTGAGCTGCTGGTCCCAGCTGAGGTCATACTGGTCAGCCCGGCTGTGTGGCAGTGGAGGGCTGGGGACAGAACAAGGATGTGGGGCATCAGTCCCCATGGCTCTGGGGACACAGGGCAGCCTCAGCATACACCGCATCCATACAAAGCCAGGGCCTGGGCCTGCCTGGGACATGGGGCTCCAGCAGGTGGACAGAGGAGTGTCTGCTGGTGAGTTTTACTGTCCTTGATGTAATAAAATGACCTCTAACGCCAGGCATGTTATGAAATCTCATGTTTATGGAGGTCGCGGGCTCTCAGAGGAAGGAGAACCACATCCCCGCTCTGCTCCTTGCCCCATTAGCAGGGAGCTCAGCTTGACGCCTGACACAGAGGGGGTCGGGAACACAAGGTTGGGGGACGGGTCCCACTGCAGGCACATTTGGCACCGCTGGGGCCGCCCCCTGGGAGGGTTCTGGTCTGCAGAGCAGTATCCTGAGCCACATCCCTCCTCAGGGCCTGGGCTACCTCGGACCACCACCAGACTTGGCCACCATGAAAACTCAGGGCCTGGCCCTAGGCCTCCACCACCAGGGGTCCCCACTTAGCTAGAAAACAACCACCGGACCCCAAACACCACAGGGTGGCTTCTAGGGGAAGCAGCCAGCCGGCTAGGGCAGCCTTCCTCCCTTCCACTGCCTACTGAGCGCCCTGGGGGCAGCCTAGGTCTCTCCACATGCGACAAGGGGGTCCCAGAGTCCCAGGGGCGCGGGGCGCAGCCCAGCTTTAGGAGGAGCGCGCGGCGGGAAAGAGCGCCATTGGCCTCGAGCCTCGGTTTCTCCGCGTGCGGCGCTCACCAGAAGCCGGTGCTCCTCCAGAAGGGGCGCAGGGGCCACGCTACGCGGGCTGCGTCTACGCGCACCAAGTGCGGGGCCTCGGCCAAGGCGGCTGGGGGAGCGGCCAGCAGCGCCGCCAGGAGCGCGAGCAGCGCGACCCGGGCGCGCATGGCCGGGGCGCGGCGCGGGGACACCCCGGGCCGCTGCAGGCCCTCCTCGGGCTCCTCGGTGCGCTCCCGGAGCCAAGCTCTGCGCCAAGCCGGCGGGTTCCGCCTCCGGGTCGCGCGCCACGTGACCACCACCGCGGGGCGGCTGCTTGGAACCCCGAGGGTAGGGGCTGGGCGGGGCTTAGGCCGGGTAAGGCGTGTGGGCGGAGGGAGAGCACAGAGGTGAGGAGCAGAGCGTGGGTGGCGGAGTGTGGGCGGGGACAAGGCCAGGGAGGGGGGCGTGGTTGGGGTTTAGGTGGGCGGGTGGGCGTGGGCGGGGCTTAGGTGGGCTGGGGAAATTGGAATGCGGTCCCTCAGGCAAACTCCTCCATGGCGCCCCCTTCCCCGCCTACGGGGATGATAGTACTGCCTCGCCGGCCGTGTGATGACCTAGGGGCTCCGTGAGTGGGGCACCCTTAGAAGACAGCTCCTCCGGTCAGCGGCACGAAGGTGAGCCGCCGTCCTGTGGATGCATCAGAAGGTTGCCCTGGAGACCGGGAGGTGCCTAATGTTCTGGTCAGACGGGCTACTTGCTGGCTCGGACGTCAGAGAGAGGTGCTCCCATGTGGGACACATTTGAAAGGCGCGGAGCTAGGACCCACCGGCTGTGGGACGTGGGCGTGGAGGGAAAGAGCAGAGTTAAAGGTGTACTAGGGTTTTGGATCCCCTAGGGGGCGGGCGTTACCTGAAAGTGGGGCTGTCATAAAAGCACAAGAGGGACTGGGGACACGCTGCTTCTGAGAAGCCAAGTGGACGTTTCTAGCAGAGGGTGGGATGGTCTGGCCTGGGTGTGACAGGAGGGGGGTGTCGCAGTGTAAGTGTCTATACTTTCAACTGTACATGTCCACCGAGGTTCTACAGCCTCACACGTGACATCAGCCGCTGAATGAGGACGTGCTGTGTAGGCAGGAGAAGCACCAAGAAAGCGGCTTACACGGTGTTGAAGGAGCGCTGAGGCCACAGGCAGGGGTCTTCAGGCAGCTCTCTGGAAGACCTCCTACCTCCGCCATGTAGACCAGTGAACGAACCACTGAGACCGCTGACAATGAAGTCCTGAAAGTAAATGACTGCAAACCTAGAATTCTAAATCCAGCAAAACGTATGCTGAATGAAGGCTAAATAGACATTTTAGAGAAACAAACCCTGAGAACACTTGTCATTAAGGAGCCGGTGAATGGTGTCCTTCCAAAGAGGCTGTGAAAGAGGCTGATTCACAACAGCAGAGGACAGGAGGGAAGGGGATGAAAGAGAAAGGGTATGTCACAGAATAGCCTAGTGAAGAGCAACTTGTAAAACAAAAATAACGATATATTTTGGGAGCTTAAAACATGTCCAGAGAATTGAAATGTGTGATGGTAGTGCACAAGTTTGTGGAGGGGGGCTAGCGGTGTGTGATTGGCTGGTCCCCAGCCGTGTCTGCTGTCCTAACCCCCAGGACCTGTACAGGTGTCCTCACTTGGTGAAGGGACTTTGCAAGTGTGATTAACGTAAGAAAGTGGAGATGGGGAGATTATCCTGGATGATCCAAGTGAGCCCCAAATGTCATCATGGTGTCCTTGTAACGGGGGGAGGAGGGGATTAGATGTGGACACAGCCATGGGATGACCGCAGAAGAGACAGAAGACCACTGTGAAACTTGTGCTGGGGGTTGGTCTTAATCAGTATGCTGAGACAGCAGGCACGAAGATGGTTGTCGTAAAGGGAGATGTTGACAGTCATGGGTCCCTGGAAATGCAGCAGGACCACACACAGAAGCAGGAGGAGGCTCATTTTCTCTAGCTCAATTCTTGGGGCCTTGGTCCTGGAGAGACCGCCTCCCGGGGCTCACCAGTCCCTGCGGATAGCAGTCAGCCTTGGGGGGACATGGTCCTGCCTGCACCTTGCTCATGCACGGAGAGCATGTGCTATCGTAGATCAGGCCTGCAGAGCCAGAGCGGTGCAGGCAGCATGGCACTGGGCACCTCAGGGGCACAGCAGGTCCACACAGTGACCTGGGTTCACAGAGGGCCTTGGTCATATGGTCTTATGGTTTTTAAAAATTGGCTGAACTAAGACACTGTGACCACAGCGGTTCCCACACTATCTCGGAGTCCCTCTGTCACACTTCCCTTCTTGGTGGGGTGGCGCTGGAGAGGTGGGGACGCTTTTGGGATCTGACCAAGGGGAAGTCAAGCTGTGCAAACATCAGTTGGGGTTTAGCGGAGTGTTTATGTGGGTTCCAGCCACTTCTGTGCGCAGCAAAGTTAGAGTCAGAGATCCTAGTGCAGAAAACAGCTTCCAGGAACTCCCATGGCAATTAACCAAGAGGAGTGAATTACACACACTTTTGGAAAGGGATTAAACATCCTGCTGATTTGACAGGAAATGTTGACATCAACAAGATAACCTAGAATCTCACAGCAGAGTGACAAGGACATGATGTAAAAGGGTTCTTCGCATCAGTAGGGGCATCTTAGATTAGCCACAGCATAGGGAAGGGCACCCAACACTTTCCAGCTGACAAATGAACACATTTGTCAAAGTTCTCTCCAAACTTGACAGCAGTCTTAACAATGTATGTCTGTGGGAAGCTATTCTGAGAAGTTCATGGGAGGGCTTGATGGAAGTATTGTTTGCCTGTAGTTAATAAGCGGGATCGGGAAGCACAGAGCTGTTCAGAAATGGTCAGACCTGGGTTTTCCTTCTTAAGATGTTCCCTGCACCCCACTTTTTCACGAATGGAGAGAGGTATGTCCTCAATTCCTGTTTCCTTAGAAGTCAGTGGCAGTGGGAGTCCATAGAATCCGCTGCTCACCAGCACCATCACTGGGTCATAACCCTCTGAGTGGCAGGTCAGTCCTGGGGCCTGGCCCTTACCCCTGACCTGTGACCTGGCTGAGGGCAAGTGCGGAGGCTGGGTGGTGCTGAGGACACAAGCAGAGAGGAGTGGACCCAGGAACTCCCAGCTGTCTGGGTTGAGGTGCTGAGCAGGTGGGGAGGCTGGCGGTGAGCTGAGTGTTCCAGGACCAGGGACTCAGCCCCCAGCACAGACCCCTCCGGTGGTCTGAGGAGTCCCATGGGAAGGGTTCCTTTCCTCTGTCACCCTGCCCAGGGGCTTCACTCTGTTTTCCCTGCTGCAGTCAGGCCAGCTCCTTCTGATCAAGCCCCTTTCTCCACGGATTGCTCCCTCTCTCCACGGACGCTCGGTTTCTAGACAAGTGCTTCCTGGGACTGGGGGCAAGCAGTCTCCATCCACCTTCTCAGGACTGCTCCTCTTGTCTTCAGACCTGGTCCCGGGCACCACCCTTCCTCTCTCCAGAGTCCACTCCTGGAATCCCCCTCTGCGCAACAGGCTGCCTCTCCCTCAGTCTGTCTCTTCTTGCCCTGCTCCGTGCTGACGCTACCAGCAGGCCGAGCACACTTCCAGGCACTTCCTCTGTCGCGTTAGTTGTCATTACGCCCTCTCTCGGGATATTATCGTCCCCTGGCTGCGTCCCCCGACCCGTTTTTCTCTTCCTCTGGGACCCTGAGGCCCCATCTTTCCCTGCATCCATGGGAGCCAGCTCCACCGAGGTGGCTAACCTGCAGCCCCTGCTCGCCCTGCCAGGTTGGGGGCTGGACGGCAACCCACAACTATACAGCAAGGACCAGAAGGGTCCCCAGTAAACCCCTTTGCCCAGGATATCCAGCTCCGCCACGCGCACTGCAGCCCACGGCCAGGCTCACAGAAGCTAGGGACCCTGGAGTGCTGGCGGGCGATGGAGCAGGGTGACCCTCGCAGACACGTCCCCAGCGCCGCCTGGACAAGACAAAGTTGTGCGTGCTGTAGCCGGCCCTCAGCAGAGCCTGGCACCCCGCCTGCAGGGCTGGGTAGTAGGATTCACTGCAACACTAGGAGCGCGGTGGGAGCGGGGCTTCATAGAGGGGCGGGTCCAGGACCTCCCCGGACCCGAACGCGAGGCCAGGGCCGCGTGGGAGGGACGCGGGCCCTCGTGCTTCCCACGGGAGAGCTGACGGGTGGGGGCTCCTATAAGACCACCTGCGAACAGGCGAGGCAGCAAATCCGGGTGGGCTGCAGACCCTGGCCATTGCTGGCCGGGAGCCTCAGCTCCCACCTGTGGTGACAGGAGCCGGGCGCCTGGGGTGCTCTGGAAATGACAGGGTCCACGCGTCCAAGGCCCTCCCAGCCCAGGGCCACCTTCATCGCCCTCCTCCTCTGCAGTAGACGCCAGACTGGGCCCCGAGGGCAAGGACGGGGCACTGAGGGCAGGGCCTGGACCCCCGAGCCTACCCTGGGCACCCCGGGATGTCCTTCGCGCTCATTGGCTCTCCCTGCGCAACCTCGAGCCACAGGCTGGATCCCAGCGCCGCGTGGGAGGCGTCAGTCTGCGCAGGCGCGGGACTGGGCACCGCAGGTGCAAACGCCTCGCCTGGGTGTTGGGAGACAGCGTGCGGAGAACCGGGTCCGGGTTCTGGGTGCTGGGAGTTAGCCCAAGGCCACCAGACCTATTATCCTGCTCTCTAGATCTCCCCACACGCCCCCGCTCAGACCCGGGCTGGGACTCCGGCTAGGTGAGCCGGCCCCGCCTCTCCGCCCCACAGGCCCCGCCTCCTGACTCGGGCCACGCCCCAGCCCAGGACCCTCTTCTCAGGTCCACTCTTCTAGGCTCGGCTTCCCCAGACCCGCCCCTGCAGTCCCCACTTCCCCGCCTCATCCCCGTCCCCAGCCCCAAGTCCTTTCGCCGCAGACCCCGCCACCGTCGGCCCCACCTACCCAGGCCCCGCCCTGCCTGCCACTCCCAGGCCCCTCCCCCACAGGCCACACCCACTAGGCCCCGCCCCGCATCGGGCTCCGCCCCACAGGCCACACCCCGCTGGGCCTCGCCGACAAGTCCCGCCCCGCTGCCAGACTCGGCCCCCCCAGAGTGCGCGCCTGCGCAGTGGCGGCGGGCGCAGTCGGAAGCCGGGCGCGGACCGCGGGAGACCGCTGGGACCACAGCTTCTCTGGCTTGCTGCGGGGACCCGGCTGTCGCCCGCCGCCGGGGCTCGGGCCCCCCGGGCCAAGGATGGAAGCGGCGGCCGAGCCCGGGATCCGCTCCTGGCTCGGCGGCGGCTCGCCGCGCCGGGGCAGCCCGGCCTCCAGCCCCGATCTGGGCAGCAGAGGCCGCGCGCGGCCGGGGCCGGGGCCCGGGCCGGGGTCCGGGTCGGGGTCAGGGCTGGAGCGGGCGGGCGCCAGGACCCCTGGCTCCGCCGCGCTGGGCCACAGCTTCCGGAAAGTGACGCTCACCAAGCCCACCTTCTGCCACCTCTGCTCCGACTTCATCTGGGGACTGGCCGGCTTCCTGTGCGACGGTGAGCGCGCGCGACCTCCTTGCAGACCGCAGCCCCTGGCCCGGACGGGCACCTCACCTGTGGCCTCTGCACTCCCAGCAATGGCTTTCCTAGGACAGAGTCCCTTGCCCCTTGCGGCAGGAGTGTGCCGGCTAGAACCTCCCCATGGAGGTGACGAGATCCGGCTCTGCCAGGGGCTTGGGGGCGTCAGGTGGCCGCGGCCCCTCTCCCAGGTCTGCCTCGGCTTTCTCACCGGGGTGGGGATCCAATGGGGAATGAAGGAGGGGCAGTGTGAGCGAGGGGGCAGGTGCAGCGACTGGAGGATGAGGCCAGCCCACCCTGAATAGGCCGACTGTTCCTCTGGGCTATCACCCCCAGAGGCTGGGGCAGCAAGGGGCAGCAGCGTGGCCTGGCCACTGGCTCCCATGCTCTGGTGCTGGTCCATTGTTGCCCTGTGTGCGCTCTGCTGCTCACAGGGGCTGGGTGTGGCAGTGCCCATGCTCAGACTCTGGGACAGCCGGCCTGGGGCCTGCCATCCCAAGTTCAGCGTGCCCTGACAGGGCTCCCACCCAGCTGCCAAGCCGGCCTGGCTGGGCGAGAAGGCCCTCCTTCCTCTGGCTCCTGGACAGCCAGTGTGTGTGCCTCCAGGGTCCGCCCTATTCTAATCCTGCTCCCTTTTGCAGGGCAGGTGGGCCGGCCCTGGGGGCAAAGCTGCCTAGGACTGTGGAGGGTGGTGGGGCAGGGAGCCCTTGTCCTTCTCAGGAAGACAGGCCGTTGGCTCTGGGGAGAGAGGACAACTCAAGCCACAGCCTGTAGAGGCTTGGCCCTTAACAGGATGCCTCTGTCAGGGTAAATGGCACGGTTGTCCTGACCCCTAGGGCTGCTGCACCAGGTGGCCTGGCTAGCTGGCATGGGGTGGTTACCCCTGGTTTCTCTGTCATATCGGAATTGTTGCACTGCCCTGCCTAACCCTTGGGAGTGCCAGGAGCCTCACCTAACTTGGGAGGCGTGCTTGTGCAGGCTATCAGCTCCAGTCTGAGGCCCTTTGAACAGGTGAGAGGTGGTGCGGGCAGGGCTCCAAGCCTGAGGCTAGACCTCAGGACATTAGAACAGGTGAGAGGTGCTGAAGGCAGGGCTTCAGGTCTAGAGGGCTCAAGAACCCTCAGCCTAGCTGGGCGCAGCAGCTCAGGAAGGAGGCTAGGCTTGGGGGATGATGGGGGGCCTTCACTGGGGATGCAGTGTGGACATTCTCCCCATGTCTGTGGATAACGGGCTGGTGATGCCGGCAAGCCGAGGGGCCTGACAAGGATGTGGGAGGAAGACACTCCCCCCGCCCCTGCCAGGGAGCACCCAGGATGTGTGTTGTGGGGTGATCGGGCACTATCCCCGTGGGCCAGAGGAGGCAGCTGGGCGCTGCCTGCCCACAGCTGGCGCCTTCTGTGGCAGAGCTGGTCTGGGTGTCCTGGAGCGGAAGCTGAAGGGATAGTGCTCACTCATCCTCTGCGTCCCCACTTCTCCCATCTTATGCCAGCCTGCTTCTGGAGTTCTCCCTGAACGTGGCCTCAATGGCTGCCCTTGCTAGCCCGCTGAGCTTGTCTGCCTCTTTCTAGGGACTGTGTGGAACAGGGCTTTCTTGAGGCCCCATGGGCACAGTTTCACCCAAGGCTGTGTTGGAGAGTTGTCCCCCTGCAGCTTGTCCATCCCGTCCCACCCCAGTGGGGCCCCCCCCAGACTCCCCATCCTCACTGGACCCACCCTTGCTGCATGTACTGCCAGAGGCCGCTCCGGCCGCTCCTTCTCCAGGTCTCCCCCACTCCTGTCCATCTTTGGGTCCCTCTCCCAGCTGAGCCTTAGTCTCGCCAGGCGTCCCCCGGGGCACAGCGCAGTCCAAGTGCACACCGCCTTGGGGCCTCTGGGCAGGGCAGATGCAGCCCTCACTGGGCCCGCCGACCCGCCTGCCTGAGCGGGGTCTTGGCCCATCAGACTGGCTCTGGGTGTCAGCAAGCACACAGCGTGTGGGAGGGGTGATTGGGGTGTATGCAGCTGTGGGGGAGTGAAGGACGGGTGTCCTTGGTGAAGTCCTCTGTGGGGATGTGCAGCGAAGCCTGTCCCTCGCAGAGACCTCAAGGAGAGCTGGGCGTGTGCGGGGGCAGAAGCCCTCTCAGGACATCAGCCACATCACCCAGGATGGTCAGGGCCATCAGGCCCCGCCCTCTCCCTCTGCTCTGGGCTTTCTTGGGACCCCGGGTGGGGTGAGGCAGAGGATCAGGCTGTCCCTTGGCACTTCTGGGGGGTGAGATGGTCGCCATGGCCTCCCTCTGTCCCCATGACTGTGGGGGTGGTAGGAACTATTCTCCCTGTCACTCCCACAGTCGGATGGGCTGGGGGAGGGCTGCAGCAACACACCCGTGTAGGAATTGCCCCCCACAAGCTTGGGCAGAGTGGGTCGACTGGGATGGGCACACTGCCCTGTCAAAGGGCTGGTGCCCACCGTGGCCCTTGGTGCCTCCCCCTTCTGCTTGCCAAGCCTGGGGTCTCTTGACTCCTGGGCGGGACAGGGGCCAACTCACATGGCTCTCCTTCCCACAGTCTGCAACTTCATGTCCCATGAGAAGTGTGTGAAGCACGTGAAGACCCCCTGTACCAGCGTGGCGCCCAGCCTGGTCCGCGTGCGTACAGAGTGTGGGCTGCCACACTGCCAGGAGGGGCAGAGGGGCGGGGACAGGCTACTGTGACAGGTCCTGAGCTGGAGGTCAGATCTGTGGCTGGACGGGCTGGGAGTGCTCCTTTGTGCCCGCCTGGGTCCCAGGGCAGCAGCGGGGGCCTCACTTCCTGCAAGTTCTCAGTTTCCTCCGGGGTCCCCAGCACTGTCCCTGCTGCTTATTGGTGGACCCCCTGCACCTGTGCTTCATCCGGGTTGCCCCAAATGTACCACAGGGGAACAGACCTGGGGGAAGTGGTCAGTGCCTGGTTTTCTTGGGCAGCGCAGCTGGAGCAAGCAGCAGGCCTGGGGAAGGACCGGCAGGCGCATCAGGCCGGAGGGGCTGCCTGGGGTTGTGGTGGGCGGTGGGACGGTGTTGGTCCTGCACAGCGTGAATAGTGCTCAGGAGGATTTGGGGGACTGCAGCTGTCAGGCAGGCGGTGGGTGCTCCCTAGGATGTAGCTGGGTGGGTGCAGGGATTGGGGGTGAGGACGTGGGGCGGTGGGCCCGGGCTGAGGCGCCCTGCTCCCTCCAGGTCCCTGTAGCCCATTGCTTTGGCCCTCGGGGGCTCTACAAGCGCAAGTTCTGCGCAGTGTGCCGCAAGGGCCTGGAGGCGCCTGCGCTCCGCTGTGAAGGTACCGCCCACCCAGGGTCGCGGTCTCTGCTCCCGAGTGGCCCAGCCGTGCGGCTGGTGGGCGGGAGTGTTTTGGATTCTAGAGCTGCTGGGGCAGGGCTGCTGGCGCAGGGGTGCAGGCTGCGTGTTGAGGTGGGCCGGGCAGGGAGAAATGCGGAGAGGTGGGGGCTTTCCCTTCCCCGCGCTTTGGGCACAGGAAGGTTAAGGATGGAGTGGCGATGGCGGAACTCAGGTCGGAGCAGAGATGCAGGGAGAAGGGGGCAAGGGCCATGGGAGCGGCGAGAGGCCCCTAACCCTGCCCGCCCCCCAGTGTGTGAGCTGCACGTTCACCCCGACTGTGTGCCCTTCGCCTGCAGCGACTGCCGCCAGTGCCACCAGGACGGGCACAGGGACCACGTGAGCAGGGGCCGGAGGCCGGGGGTGGG